GACTTCATGGTCCTCTTCACCCTTGATCTTGCACCCTCTACCCCCCCCCCTTCTCTCCCTCCATTTTTCCCACTGCTCGGACAGAGCCGCAGCGGTGGACGGCCAACCGGTTGTCCGTTCGGACAGTCCTGGACGGTCAGGGGGTCCCAGACGTCCGATCGGGTAACACAGCTTTAAACAGAATTGATCATTTGGCCATGATTTTTTATTTTTTATTTTTTTTAATATGGCCATGATTTTCGATGACCAGGATTGATCGGTTGGTCGCGAACTTCGACAAACAATCAAGCATGGGTGGACGTAGTCAGCCATGGCCCTCCCCTGATGGATTCGCCGGGTGTGAACAAATTGGGCGATGAATCCTCTGATCATTTTGAAAACAACGCAGGCCGGACTGTCTTCACAAGAATGCCCAGTCACTATCACTGTATCTAGACGCAAAATTGCCCCAAGTACGGTCTTAACGACTGGCCGTTCAGTTCGGGTGAAGGCGGTAGTGGTCTACCACGCGGTGGCATTGTTTTCGAAATGGCTTTGTCTGTTCCTGACTCTTTCATGGCCCTGCAATGGGCACCGGAAAACCCAACCCTAACCCACCCAGCCCATGTGGCTGAAGTGTACACCGAGTAAGAGTGGATAAACAGACCTGAGTTCGAATCCCGGTGCAATCCGACGAATAAAAGGACTCTGAATTATGTGGGGCCAGTCAGTTTGATGATGATGCTTCAAGGTCGTCACCCTTCTTTAAAAATGAGAGGAAAGGGGCGAGGAAGAGAAACAAGGGGGGTGTCCCAATTTGAGGTATTGTTGACTATACAGGGGGGGGTAGTCAGGCGTGTTTCCTCTAAAAGAGAATTCCCAGGTTCAGTTTACCTTAACCCCACCACTACCTCCGAGCCTGTTTTTGCCGACCCTGATTTTTATTGCGTGCCCAGTTTTGCCGAGCCAGGTTCCTGCTGTCTTTTATTTGTTGGTAACTTGGTACTCCTTTGAAAGGAAAAAAATTCAAAACTGGGCTCTATGTTCAAAAACCAAAAGCAAAAAAAAGGAAAAGCAGGGCGTTACTCATGGGCACATCCACGGGAGAAAACGAAAACCAAAACAAATCAACCCTTTCCACAAAAAAGCGGGAAAATCTATTTTCCCAAGGTACATGTGTGCGCATGCCCTCAGTGAGGGCGTAACAACGGCCAATGTCAGGTCCCACTAACGAACAAAAAAAAAAAAAAAAAAAAAACATCGAAACACACCTTTGGACGGGATTTGAGGTTGTGATACATTCCAGTAGTTTGCAGTGCTAGAATGGCCCACCCTCCGTCACAAACTGTCGGGCTGCCCGTCGAATGGGCCGTGCCTCGCTGGCAGGGCACCAAAACAAAAGAAGAAAAGAAAAATGACTAAACCTTAGGACAAACTGAGCCTAGACATTGTACTTGCTAGATACCTAATGGCAAGTGTTGGTGTGAGTACAGCCTCGTTCAAGGCCTTCCCCCCGACAGCTCGCCTCACGTTGCAGTGCCTTCTTTTTTCTTTTTTTCTTTTTTTCTTTTTTTTTGGTGCAAACGGGCCCCGTTAGGACGCAAACATTTTCTTTTGCCCAAGCCTCCTCAGGACCCCTGAAAAACAAAGTGCGGTGTGATGTATATTCCCCCTTTCCCCAAGGCTGAGAAAGGTAGTGGTGATTTAAGAAAGAGCTTTGCTATCTTGTACAGGGGGAAAGTGAAAGTTCACAGAAAAGTCAAACCTGATTAGGTAGCCCCCAGTTGTGAGTTGGCGCATATTTGCGCTAGGGCATTTGGTCTGAATCTTCCTGTAATTGCGGGAAGATTCGCCCTGGAAAATGCTACCGTCTTCACCTGAATAGAACACCCGGTCATTATCACTGTATCTAGAGTGAGCGTTTCATCATTATCACTGGATCTAGAGTGAGAGTTGCACCAAGTACAGCTATAATGAGCAGGCGACGCGGGTGTTCGATTTGGGTGGCGATGGTAGTGTGAGAGTATGCCCTACTCATTTCAACAGGCGCTCCATGGATGTTGTGTTGTAATTCATAGGGGGGATTTCGATGTGTGCATGTTTTGGCGTCTGCAAATTTGAGCGTGCTGTTTGTCTTGTTTTTCCCAAAGGCATTGCATTGCCGTTTGTGTGGTTCCTCTCCCCCCCCCAAAAAAAAAAAAAACAAAGAAATGACAAATGTCGGTTCAGGCCACCCTTCCCTTCTGCTCCGGGGGTCATAAATTTGGTTGCGATCTCGCTGCCGTCTTCACCCGAATAGAACGCCCGGTCATTATATAGCTGCATTTGGTCCAAGTTATTGCCCAGATACAGCGATTAATGACCGTGCGTTCTATTCGGGTGAAGACGGCAGCAAGTCATGTGTGTCGGCAGTGGTTGCTTGAGAGGATGGGTTTACGTGGACTCTTGTCTGCGCGTTCATGTCGGACAGGCAGCAGTCGCATCACAATAATGACAGAATAATACACATTCATTCAATTTGCTACTAACGGCAGACCCTTGCAGATATTTTCAGAGTTGCGGGGTCTGGTGGGAAGGCAGCAGTTGCTCGAGGATGGGTTTACGTGGACCCTTGTGCGCTGTTCGGATGACGAAGGTTCAAGCCCAAGGGAGAGGTCTGTGCGAGAGGGTGTGGAGGAAAGGCGCCGGAGACAGTTTCAGGGAATGTCAACGGGCGGCACTCCGGCAGAGATCGGCAGACGACTTAAGGACGCAGTCGAGATTATGCAGGAGAGTTTCCACCCGATCAAGGACACCCGCACTCGTCAAGACCTTATTCCGCTCATCATGACGAATCGCAGGTGAGACGATTGACCGTCCCTCGTTTCTTTTCTTTTCTTTTCTTTTTTCGCCCGTTGCTCTGTGAATGGTTTTTTTTTTT